TCCTCGGTCTGCCTTCCCACCAGCCATCCCCTTCCTGCCAGCCCTCCGTCATGTGTCACCGGGGCCGGGCCCAGCACATCTACCCTGAATTAATCTAATTACTTGATTTCCCAGCCAGAGCTCGCTCCATAAAGTCCTTGGACAGAGAGACCATCTGGCTCAAGGGCCAGGGTGTAAAAAACAAACAACAAAAAACCCCCCAAACCCCAGCAAAAGCGGGAGGAGAGGCGCAGTGGAGCTGCCTCTGACTGCCTGCATCCTTTTAAAGTGACCTGGGGGAAAAATAAAGAGGCTAGAAATGCAAAGAATCCAGCAGTCAGAGTTTTCTTTATATTCCTCTCAGTCACATTTCCACATCCATGGGTAATTTATAACCCGCTTAACCCCTTCCCTGCCGCCCCCCTCAGCCGCAACCCCTTCACTCAAGAGCATCCTCGCAGCGGGCGGCCGCACCTTCCCGCCTCTGTTTGCTTTGGGAAGCACAAAAAGTCCCGCACCGGAGTTTGCTGATCTCTAGAGGGGGGGGAAAAAAATGCGGTTGATGTCAAAGGGGTGTTTGAGCACAATGGATGGGCTCTGCGGGGTCGGGACATGGGGTGACGGGTCCCCCCGGCTATAGGGGGGACCGCGGGGACACCCCGGCCAGCGTGGGGGGAGCCCGTGGCTTCACAAAAGGCTGTAGAAAAAAAAATAAAAATGGAGGTCAGTAGTGATAAATGCAAAAGGCATCGAGTGTTTCTGGAGAGGGGAGGAGGGAGGGCAGTAAATATTTGCCAACTTGAATATTATTGCCTGGGAAAGGGTTTTTTTTTCCTATTCAAAGGTGAGTGGATGGAGCACGGACTGGTGCCAGGCGTAGTGCAGGCAGGTGCGGCGGGAGCGTTGCCCACCGGGGGAGCATTGCCCCCTCTGCCCCAGGGCATGGAGCACCCCTCAACCCTGAGCTGGGACCGGGAGATCCCCCCCTTTCCCCACGCGGGGGTCCTGCCATGTGTTCCCCATTAGGGCTGGAGGTTAGCGAAGCCCCCGGCCCTCCTCCTCCTCCTCCTTCTCTTCCTCCTCCTCCTCTTCCTCCCCCCGGGCCCGCTTTGGGGTGCTGCCATAAATAAGGCTAACGGGCAGGGCAGCGCGAGGCGGCGCGCGGGGCAAAGCCTGTGCCTTTTATGTCTTTTAAATCCTGGGAAATCAAAGCTGTAAATCTGGGGTGTCAGGGAGAGCCCAGCGCCCCGGCTGGGAAGGGGCCCCGCGGAGCGAGGGTGCGGGTGGGGTGCAGGGGGGTGACACAAGGAGGCCCTAAGGCCATGGAGGGTGGCATGGCTGAGTTTAACACCGAGCTGGGGACAAGGGGCTCGTCCCCTCCTAGGGGGACAGTCCCCATGGGAGTGCTGGCCCGGGGGGCAGTGAGGTGCCGGTGCTGCTGCTCGCTGGTGCCGATGTGCTCCCAGAGCCAGGGCCGATCTCTGTGTGCCATCGTGCCCCCCTGGTCCCCATGTCCGTCCCCCCCCAGTTCCCCTCCTCTCCCCACCCCCTCTGTGCTGCTGGTGTCAGTGGGGCTCCCCTGATGCCTCTGCATCCCCAGTCCTGTTGTGCCCCTGCATCCCCGCTGTCCCCCAACCTCCCTGCATCCCCCAGTGTCCCACTACATCCCCCAGACTCTATACACCTTCTGGTGCCTGTGCATCTCCTGGTCTCCCTGCACCTCTCCATGCCTGGGCACCCCCCTGTGCTCCTGCATCCCCTGGTACCCCTGCATCCCCCAGTGCCAGAGCATCCCCTGG